ACACACACACACACACACACACACACACACACACACACACACACACAGAAACAAGGAGGCTACAGTATATGCTACACATACACATTTGGCAAAGAGATTAAAGAAAGCCAAGGAAAAACACTTGAAGCAGATTGCCAAGAGATGTAGACTGTCCTCGCTGACAGCTTCTTAAGTCCAGTCAAAAGTGAAAGTAATAATAATAAAAAAAAACAACAACAAAACACAATGAGTGAACCTTGGAAAAAAGAGAAAATAGGATTCAAATTTTCATGTTTACAAGTAAAATATTAACAGAGTACATTTAAGGTATTTGGGAAATTGATATTCACTACTATGAATAGAAATTTGTATTTAAAAACTTCTTCAGAATATTGTCTTATTTAGCTTCCAGCATTTATTTTGACATTTATAAAGAAGTCTCCAGCTTCTTTGAAACTCTAGAAATAGGATACACGAGGGAATTTCAGTCTGGGTTTCAACAAAATGCTGGATTCTCTATTACAAGTCTTGAGCTCACAAGCATTCATTGTTGAGTTTCATTTATACATATTTGTTTGAAAAGGTAAAATAATTAAGTTGAAAATATTCAAATTACATAAGTTGCATGTTTTTTTTTTTTTGCCAAGTGTAGTAGCTTTGGTGGCAGCTTATTAGCTATTTAATTGCGCTTAGAGTCACCTAAAATAATAATTAGCTTCTGCAATTTGAGGTGATTTTTATGAGATTAAAAACAGAATTATTTCTACAGTGGCTAGCTTTAGTAAAATTAATTCTGGCATTAAAATTACTTTAGGCATTTTAGTTTCATAAGCCAAGTAAACTAAACCTGAAACTAAACCTGAAGAAAATAACAAGAAATTACTGAGACAGAGCAGTTGAAGGATGGATATACTCCTGAAAAAGCTGTAAACTAGGATCTATTTGTTAACTTACAAATAGCATTAAAACCTTAGTTTTTCCGTTTTATTGGAGTTAGTAATTGGGAAGTAGATGATGGGCTGTTTTATTTAGGGGTATCTTCATCACAAAAAGTCACGCAAGGTCTCCTTGTATCTGTGTGCTATTTTAAAGACATCACGTCCCTTTTTACTGGTAACATCTGGTTTTCGCATCAGCGATTTGAGATTGTAGAGATTTGTTTGTACTATCTTCACAAAGCAGCATGAACATACAGAGAGTAAGTCTGTAGCTGTCCTCACTGGAAGGATGATATTCTAAAGAGACACGAACGTTCCGCCCCCTTGGGCTGTAAGACTGCTGAAACAAAGGCTCTGGAATTTCTCCCCGGGTCTCACGCTGTGAGAAGGAGAAAGTTGGGACTTTTTGTTACACACAGAGGAAGCTTGTTTCCCTCAGAGAAATTTCACACAGTTCTCACATCGTGCTAGATCATCTTGCAGGAGAAGCTGAGGCTGAGACAGGTAGGACCACCTTGACCACAGTAGCTGTGTGCCTTCCCTTCTATTTAAACCTAAACCTGGACTCAGTGTCAGGGACCTAAAGACTTACTTGGGTGGGGAGTGACCATTTAGCCTCTTTGTTCCTCCCTGTGATGTGGCAGGTAAGTCAGTCTTTGTCTGTCTGTCTGTCTTTATCTGTCTCACTCTCTCTGCTTTCTGCCATTATTTGTCAGCTTCCGTTGCCCACCCGAGGACAAGTAGCCAAGCTGAGGGTTTTGGGGCTGCCAGGACCTCATCTCTGCCACTTAACAACGCTGGTAACGAGTAGAGGCTCAAAGGCTGAGGCAATGCCTTTGATTTCGAAGTTAATCATTTTTCAAGCTGTTTGATAGTCTTTAGTCATGCCTGGAAAGATGGCTTTCAAGTAAAGCTCTCGCTGCTCTTCTGTAGGACCCTCGTTCAACTCCATATGACATAGAAAACATTTTCCATAAAATTATAAATAAAAAAATCTCCCAAATCTCGAGAAACATATTCCTACACAGATTGTACTGGTTAGTTTTTATTTTTTTTAATTTTTATTTTTTTGTCATCTTAACATAAGCTAGAGCCATCTGGGAAGAGTGGACCTCAGCTGAGAAGATGTCCCAGTCAGATCAGCCTATAGCAAAGCCCATAGGACATTTTCTTCTTTTAATTTTAATTTCTTTATATTAATTACAGCTTATTCACTTTGTATCCCAGCTGTAGCCCCCTCCCTCATTCCCTCCTCGTCCCACCCTCCCTCCCTCATCTCCTCCCATGCCTCTCTCCAAGTCCATTGATAGGGGAGATCCTCCTTCCTTTCCATCTGACCCTAGCCTATCAGGTCTCATCAGGACTGGCCGTATATCCTCCTCTGTGGCCTGGCAAGGCTGCACCCCCATCACGGGGAGGTGATCAAAGAGCCAGCCACTGAGTTCAAGTCAGAAACAGCCCCTGTTCCGCTTACTAGGGAGCCCACTTGGATACTGAGCTGCCATGGGCTACATCTGTGCAGGGGTTCTAGGTTATCTCCATGCATGGTCCTTGGTTGGAGTATCAGTCTCAGAAAAGACCGTTGGGCCCAGATATTTTTGGTTCTGTTGCTCTCCTTGTGGAGCTCCTGCGCCTCAGGTCTTTCTACCTCCCTCTTCTTTCATAAGATTCCCTGCACTCTGTCCAAAATTTGGCTATGAGTTTCAGCATCTGCTTTGGTACCCTATTGGGAAGAGTTTCAGAGGCCCTCTGTGGAAGGCTCCTGTCCTGTTCCCTGTTTTCTCCCTCTTCTGATGTCCATCCGTTTGCCTTTCTGAGTGAAGACTGATCATCTTACCCAGGGTTCTCCTTCTTGCTTATCTTCTTTAGTGTGCAGATTTTAATATGTTTATCCTATATTAGATGTATAATATTCACTTATAAGTGAGAGTGGCAAACAGCTGGTCATTTTTACTATGTTAATCCTACTGATCCAGGAGCATGGGAGATCGTTCCATCTTCTGATATCTTCTTCAATTTCTTACTTCAGAGACTTGAAGTTCTTGTCATACAGGTCTTTAACTTGCTTAGTTAGAGTTACACCAAGATACTTTATATTATTTGTAGCTATTGTGAAGGGTGTTGTTTCCCTAATTTCTTCTGAGCCTGTTGTTTGTATATAGAAGGTCTACTGGTTTTTTTGAGTTAATTTTTGTATTCAGCCACTTTGCTGAAGGTGTTTATCAGCTGTAAGAGTTTTCTGGTAGAATTTTTGGGGTCACTTAGCTATACTATCATATCAAGCTACAAATTAAATGCAATTCTCATTAAAATACCAACATAATACTTTATGGACCTTGAAAGAACCATTCTCAACTTCATATGAAAAAACAAAACACCTAGAATAGCTAAAACAATTCTATACGATAAAAGATCTTCTAGCGGTATCTCCATCCCTGATTTCAAGCTGTACTACAAAGCAATAGTAATAAAAGTTGCATGATACTGGTATAGAAACAGACTAGTTGATCGATAAATCAAATTGAAGACCTAGAAATAAACCCACACACCAATGGACACTTTATTTTTGACAAAGAAGCCAAAACCACACAAAATGGAAAAAAGAAAGCATCTTCAACAAATGGTGCTGGTCTAACTGGATGTCTATATGTAGAAAAATGCAAATAGATCCATATCTATCATCCTGCACAAAACTCAAATCCAAGTGGATCAAAGACCTCAATATAAAACCAGAAACATTAAAAAAGTGGGGAATATTTATGACCTCATTGGCATAGGAGACAACTTCTTAAACAGAACACCAACAGCTCAGGCTGTAAGATCAACAATTAATAAATGGGACCTCATGAAATCCAAAGCTTCTGTAAAGCAAATGACACGTCAATAGAACAAAATGGCAGCCTTCAGATTGGGAAATGATCTTTACCAATCCTACATATGACAAAGGGCTAATATCTAAAATATATAAAGTACTTAAGAAATTAAAAACCAACAAAACAAAAAAGTATGGGCTACAGAGCTAAATAGAGAATTCTCAACAGAGGAATATCGAGAAGCACTTAAATAAATACTCAATGTCATCAGGGAAATGCGAATTAAAATGAGGTTGAGATTCCATCACCCATCAGAATGGTTAAGATCAAAAACACAAATGACAGCACATGCTAGCAAAGATGTGAAGAAAGGGGAATCCTCGTCCATTGCTGGTGGGAGTGCAGACCTGTACAACCACTCTGGATATCAACCTGGCACTTTTTCAGGAAACTGGAAATAGCTCCCACTACTGGGTATATACCCCAAAGATGCTGTACCATACAACAAGGACACTTGCTCAACTATGTTTATAGCAG